TCTTTTTATTTGATTACATTAATTAATTAATTTATTTTTGGCATCTGGCCAGTACGGGGATCCGAACCAATGACCTTAGTGTTATAAGGCTACTCTCCTTTTTTGGATGTTAAGACATTCTTATTTTAACATAGGGAAAATTTAGTTATTTTTATAACCTTATTTATAAATGATTATAGTGCGCTGGGTAAATATACAGGTACTTGTATTACATAGTGTCTTCTTTCTCAAATTAAAACTCCTCAAGTTTAATATGGAGCCCTGTGAATAAGGCTAGTGTATGTTAATTACCAGTTCTTTAGTTTTACAGTAATTTGAAACTGTGTCTTGATATAAGGGCATTTTACAAAATTCTTGTCCTCTAGACTTGCTCAGGGCCACACTACTCGTATACCAACAAGAATTTCATTTAGTCTTTTTGGACTGTAGTGTTCTTAATCTAAATAAGGTATTTGTAGATCTCTAAAGTCACTTCTAGCTCTGAAATTCAATAATTTTTCCCAAGGGTTACATGTTTAGCTTGATCCAGGTAGGCTCCCCCAGTCACCGAAAGGATCCTGGGACTGTGAGACTCAGCGTCCAAGTCCTGATTTTGGACAGGTATTGTGGGGAGGGAATCTGATCCATGCCTCAGAGTTGTAAGTATGGAGACAGTTTCATCCCCATGGAGTTGTTGAACTTCCTACTATAATGGTGGTTGTTGTGAGCACATTTCTATCTTTAATTCTGAGGGAACTAAATGTCATTAAACAGTATGTGTACGTACAAGTAGGCTCTAGCTATAGCGTCTTGATTTTGTTATAGCAAAAAAGTCTAGTTGTCTTTCCATGAATGAGCTCTTTATGAGCTGTTCATGGTTCATACTGTTCAGAGTTACTGATGTTTGCTCTTTTTCTTTTCTTTTACTACAGCGGGTATGAAGTATCATAATGTACCTCTTAAAGGTTATGGTGCATAATTATACAGATTTGTAAGAAAGTGTGGACCTATTGTAGCAGATTTAAGTTTGCGGGCCTTTGGGAACCCTTTCCACTTACAATAATTCCTTGGCTTATCATGAAAGATTATAGAATATTCTGAAGCTTCAGCTCCTCTCTTTCCCTGCCTTAACTTTATACTTTCTGGTGATATTTGGATGCTTAGAGCACTTTGCACAAAGCTATGTTATTTCCTGCTTCTATGCCTTTGTTCATGCTGCTCTCTCTGCCTGAAATTTCATCCTCAACTTTCCTTGAATGGCTGGTCTTCCACCAAGACATAGTTCTCCTTTAGCCCCTCCAGAGCTTATTTCTGGACTATATTAGTGGGTGTTCTTGCCCTCAGTTTCTTGTTGGGTTTGGCCAATAGGAGGCATCAGCAGAAGATGAGAGGGAGGGATGTAAGTGTATTCACTGTATTAGTCAAGTTTTTATTGTGATAATGCTGCTTAACAGCCCCCAAATTTCAGTGACTTACTCTAGGTTACCACATTTATTTCTTGCTATGGGGCTGTGGGTTGGTGGTGGTTTAACTGATCTTGCCTGGGCTCAGCTGATCTCCAGGCTTCAGGTTAGGTTTACATCTACTCAGTGTATTTTATTTTGGAACTTAGGCTAAAGGAGCCATGGATGTATGCGGCATGGACTTCTCATGGCAAAGGACATAAATGCCAAGAAACCAAGCCAGACCATGTGTGCATATTTAAAGCCTTTGCTTGAATCATATCTGCTAAAGTTCAACTACCTAAAGCAAGTCATATGACCAAGCCCAGTGGGTCAGTAGGATGAGGAGTGTGCTCTGCCCAAAGGGTAAGAGGCTGTGGAATTCAGTGGCAAAGGGCATGGATGAATCATTGTATTATACGGTGGATATGAGGACTTGGAAATGATAGTGCAGTCTATCACATTGGATTATAGCTTTCCCTGGCTCCCTTTCTGTTGGATTGCTGGTCGGTATTGGTTGCATTCCTCTGCTGAAGGCTACCACTCCTGTTTGGCTGTGTTTTCCTGTAACCACAGTTTTTTGCTCTGGGCACTGAGAACCATTTTTACCTTGTCACTCCAGGTATGGTAAAGACTCCCTGCTGTGCTGGCTCCAGGGTGTTTCACCATCCTTTGTTGCTTTCCTTGTTAGTATTGTATATACCTTTGTAAATAGTCACTTCACTAAAATGTCCTCAACTACTCCATTTAAATGTGCCCTGTGTTTCCTGAAGCAATTCTGACTGATAGCTCTTACTCATTCTTCATGCTCCTTTGGCTCCTGGTACTTATTGCTTTTTTATCACTTACCATACTATGTTGTTTAGATGTGCATCTTTTCCATTGAAGCTTTTTAAAACAGGATTTATTATTTGCAACCACAGTACCTAAAACATTGAAGTTCAGACTTTCTCTCTGAAGGTTTGATAATTGCATTTCACTTACCATACTATGTTGTTTAGATGTGCATCTTTTCCATTGAAGCTTTTTAAAACAGGAATTATTATTTGCAACCACAGTACCTAAAACATTGAAGTTCAGACTTTCTCTCTGAAGGTTTGATAATTGCATTTGCTGAAATAAACTGACAGTAGACAGATTAACAGGAGAAAAGGGCATACAAATTTTTATTAATAGAAGGGCATGGGAGTCACACAAAGTATGAAACTCAGAGAAGGGCCAGATAGTTTAAGCTTAAGTACTCTTTCCATTCACCCTAGGGAATGTATGCAGTTTTAGAGGAAGAGTAAATGATTTTTATGAGAGATAAATGGGTCCAAAGAATAGGCAGTATGCTGAGACTAAGTTCATATGGCTCTGGGCGTGATGTCAACTCTAGTCGTCTTTCCTTCCAGTTAATCTGTTTGATGAGATGATAGGGAAGGAGGCCCAAGACAATTGCATTCCTTCTGGAGGAACTTCCCTTGTCAGATAAGGGAACTTCAGAGAAAGCCCCTCCCTGTGCTTCCTAGAGAGGCAGAGGGGCAAGAGAAGGTCTGAGACCTTGGTTCTGAGGCTGCTTCTTTAGTTCAAAGTATGCAGCATGTCAAAGCACTATCCTTTAGGGTATTGTTTTCTGAGCCCCAACACTGGCATATAGTGAGTTCCTAAAAAATAGTTATTGAGAAACCCAGATAAGGGAAATACTCTCCTTTTTCTCCCCCAAACAAAATTGTACCAAATTATAAAACAACTTATGCCTGTTTTGGTTAAAGCAAGATTCTAGAAGAGCCAGAGGTCAGGAGCCTGATCCACTTAGCCTCTTCCTTATTCTCTGGCAGCGTTCTTTTAAGGAGCTCCTGCATCAGGCATCCTAGTGACCCCAGGTTGAAGACTACTGATCTCACAAGGTTCCTTCCAGTTCAGTGAGTCCCTTTTTGTATTATTAAAAATCTTGATTGAGGGCCGGCCTGTGGCTCACTCGGTAGAGTGCGGTGCTGATAACACCAAGGCCACGGGTTCGGATCCTATATAGGATGGCCGGTTTGCTCACTGGCTGAGCGTGGTGCTGACAACACCAAGCCAAGGGTTGAGATCCCCTTACCGGTCATCTTTATAAAAAAAAAAAAAAAAAAAAAAATCTTGATTGAATGCTTGAGAACCAAAAATCTGTCATTTGTCATCAGAAAACATGCTCTAACTAAATATTCTATTTCAATAAATAGCCAAAGGAATGCTTATGGATAAGAAAGGATTTAAAACATTGAAGTGCAGAGAAAACCATCATTGCACACTAATGCTTGTCTTTAATTCATCTATGTACCTGGTTGGTAAGATACTTTTGGAGTAGTGGTTCTCAAAATGTGGTCCCTAGATCAGCTTAGCATCACTGGAGAACTTGTTAGAAATGAAAATTTTTGGTTCTCCCAGACCAGAATCAGAAACTTTAGGGGTAGGTCCCAGTAGTTTGTGTCTTACCAAGCCCTCCTGGTGCTTCTGATGCATGCTAAAGGTTGAGAACCACTGTTTTAGAGTCAGCTGTTTGTAGTGTGTTTTTAAAAGGGAACACTTTGAGTAACTTCTTTAGTGGCAATATCTGCTGCCTATTCACCAGAACACAGCTTTCGTTGCCCCTTTTGGAGATCTCCAAGTGATTTAAGAGTTATCATTATGCTGGGTGTTAGTGGTTCATATGATTGGCATGCCAATCACAGCTTCTCTGAAGATCCAGTATACATTAGAGAATGAAAGCATTATTATGAACTCTTGAGATGCTCTTGTAATAATTTCCTTCATCCTTACTGTTTTAAAAGGGGAATATGGTTGCAGACATGAAGTTTTCTTCTTTGTTCTCTGTTGTCAGGAATAAACTCTAGTGGAAACATAGTTTATCATTGTAAGCAATAGAAAGAAATTTGAGCCAAGAGTCTGGATATATGGATCTAGTTGTGACTTTGCCATTAAGGAACAGTATGGCCTTGGGCAAATAGTATAACTTCTTGAAATTCTTCAGGGAATTATATAGTGTATTTCTGTGGATAGTTTTTTCTTGGTAGTTTGGATTGCTAATGTTAAGGTGATTTTCTGTCCCATTAATGAGATGCCAAGGAAAAAACAAGGCATGGGTATACATTCTTTATTCATATGAGAAATGTGGATATACCAAGAAATCCCTCAGAAACAGCTACTTTTGAGTTGAGAAACATTTTTAAGCTTTGAACCCCTACGTTTATTTATACCATGGAGAATGATAGAGGGGAGGCAGTTTATTTTTGTAGTAAAGACCTCAAGGTTTGGAGTTAGGCTTTGGGTTAAAATCCTAGCTTTATTATTTACTAACTTGACCTTGACTTCTCTGGTCTTTAGTTGTCTCACTGTAAGTTGGAGTTAAGTGTTGGGCTTGGAAGAGATAACTTATTTACAGATTTTGAGCCTGGATCTTGGTAAGTTATAAGGACTTAGTAAGTGGTAGCTTTATTAGTTTTTACTATTAAAGCAGTCCAATCTAACAGTTTGATATTCATATGAAACTAGTTTGATGTCCAGTTTTATCATAATGTGGATCAAGAAGAAGGACCAGAACAATTATTTTGTACTTTGATTTTTTTTAAAGTATAATCAAAACTATGGCACTGAGAACTCATCCTCCCATGGTTTTTCTTAGAGCATGTTAAAATCCAGTTTATGATATGATCTCTTTGTTTTAGGGGATGATGAGCAGAGTGATTGGTTCTATGAAGGAGAATGTGTCCCAGGATTCACTGTCCCTAATCTTCTGCCCAAGTGGGCTCCTGAGCATTGCTCTGAAGTAGAAAGAATGGATTCTGGACTGGATAAACTTTCAGATTCCACATTCCTTTTACCTTCTCGGCCAGCTCAAAGAGGTGAGTTCTGAGGTGAGACTAAAAATATATACTTTGTGCTTTTATAAAAGTTTTCTTTGGGAAGAAGAATCATCTCGTAGCAAGCATACTAGGGTACTTCAAAAAGTTTGTGGAAAAATAGAATTAAAGATAATACAAATCTTTCCATGAACTTTTTGAAGTACCCTCGTATTCATACCTCTAAGTACACATTAACTATCTGAATTTGGAAGCTAGTTCAGGGATTTTTAGAGGACTCAAGGGTGAGTCTTAAAGCTTGAGGTTCTTTCCATTTCTACCTATATCAGTCCTTGCAGACTGTTGAGACATATATTAGCGCATTTCTTCAGCTTGCCATTGCCATTTGTGCCAAATTTAGAAGTCTCACGCCATGTCATGGCTGCTTATCCTGCTGTAAAACTGATGGGTTATTGAGTGCTTATTGGAAGCCTGAAATATTGGATCTTGGAAGAGAACAGATTTCAGTCAGAACATTCACATTCAAGGTATAATGGCATTTTTTAAATGGATGATTTAAAAATATTTCTTTAAATAATTTTATTTTAATGATTCCATTATTGCAGACTTTAACCTAAATACATGTTCTTTCCCCTTGCTTTTCCTTCAGTTATGTTGTAGCAAGGTGAGGAAGAAAGAGCCTAGGACAGGGTGAAGGAAACGTGGTGGTAATATTCTCTGGTACTGTTTACCTAGCTCTGTAGCTGTGACAAAATCACTTTATTTTCTTGGGATGTTAGGGTCATCACTTAAGATTGACATTGAACAAAACTGTTTCAGAGGTGTCTTTTATGATTCTAGGATTCCCAGTAACCAGTAATCAACCAGTTAGTTATCAAGTAGTTGTTGAGCATCTGTTGGTGAGCAGAATTACAGTTAAGAGCTGTGAACTCTTATTATGTAGGATTTTGTTATGATGAATTTGGATGGTTGAAAGGCCTTTTCAGAGCAGTTGGTTCTTGGTAAAGACTACTCTGTGGCTAAGGCACATTGTTTCACTGAACATCTCAGTGAACATTTCTAAAAGTTCTTTATGGACCACTTAGAATATACACAAGTATGCAAGAATAACAGGAAGAAACTTAAAATGGCCTATAATCCTACATCCAGAGACCATTTCACTGTTAACATTTCTGTGCAGATTCTTCCAGTTCTCTCTATGTGTAGAGCATGTACAAAATGTTAGAAAAATGGGACTATGCTATAATACATGCTATTTTCATCATTATTTAATGAATTAGAATGTTTTTGAGATAGTAACTAGCATTTGTGTAGTGTTTTCAGTTTATAAAGTACCTTCAATGTGCTGTCTCACTGAGTCTTCTGTTTCACAGGACTGTTAGTCCTGTAAGGTAGGACTGAGCAGGTGATTATCTCTCTTTTATAGATGAGGATGCCTAGGGCAAAGATAAATGGCATGCCTAAGATCATACTGCTAGTGACAAGACATGGGAATAATAAATCCTTGGCAAATAGCCTTGTGATACTAGTTTAAAGGTCAATCTGGTAAGATCTTGGGGTAGAGCCTTCAGTGTACCAACAGCATATGATTGCTTATGGATTTTCTGCATTCAGTAACTGAGGCCTTATTTTTTTTTTAGGGTATCATGCTCGCTTGAATCGTCTGCCTGGAGCTGCAGCTCGATGCCTCAGAAAGGGGCGGAGAAGGCTTGTTGGAAAGGTGATAGCTCTCATGGTTTACTAGGCTCAGTGGGAAGATACTATTCCCTATGGGATTTGTGTACCTGATTGACAATCAAAGGTGATGTAGAACTCCCTGGAGTTATGAAGCCAACTGGAATGTTTTGGGAGTTTCAAGAGTGAACATTAAGTAGAACCTGAATGGATACACACATAAAGATGAAGCTTAATTCATACAGAAGTCTGACAAAACAAACACTTTATTACAGTGTCTGTTATCTATAAATCTACATGCTCGATCTCTGTCTCTTCTGCACTTTTGATTAATGTTATATTATTATTGTATAAGTTGAAATACTCTTGGCTTATGACTCCTCCTGAATTCATGAATGTGTCTTTGTTCTGTCCTATCTTTGGTCTTTCATCCTAGAATTCATTAAAAAAATTTTTTTTAACTGGAAAAAAAAAATCTCTATCAAATTTCAAGAGCCCCTCCTTGGCCACAAGGGAAGAATATGAGTATCTACTGTTTATTCAGTTCTGCTTTTGCCAGGGACTGTGCTAGGCATTCAGCTCATTTAATCCTCCCGACAACCTTGTAAAAAAGGTGATATTGCCCTTTAGCACATGAGGAATTCTTAGGTTCAGAAAAGTTAAGTAATGTCGGAGGTTACCCAGATAGAAGTGGCAGAGTAGAGATTTGAACCCAGGCCTCCTTTTGTCTTTTTTTTATTTTTATTATATTTTATTTATGTTTTACTCTGTCTTTGAGATTGAGAAATAGGATAAGATAGCGGCTCATACCCAGTTAGAGAAGATGGTAGTGAGCAAAGAGTATGGAAAGGAGGCATTCGAGAGCATTAATTTGTTTACTCAATAAGCATTTAGAATGCCTACTATGTGGTAGGCTCTATGCCAAGCCAGGTATATATGTAGTGGTCAGAGACACAGTCTGGCTACCCTCAAGGGTACCCCCTGACTGCTATATACCTGGCTAAGGACCTATGTTATAGTCTAATGAGGGAACTATTTTCTGAAGTTTTAGGCATGCAAAAGAAAAGAGATTGTTTATTTCCAGATTAACTTAGATTCTTATTCTTTTTATCTCTAAATTAAAATTCAGATTTCTAATTAGACATTTGATTATTGGAAGAATGGTACCTCTTCCTTCTGAATCACTCATTTTACGGACAATAACATGGTACTTTCACTGTTCTAGGAGCTTATTCTTAACAGGATAGCTAGCAGGATAGGAGTACCTGAGATGGAGGCAGGCCTGAGGTGGGGAGTGGGGAACGGAGAGATGGTTTTGCTTTTTACTGGTTAGCCTTGACAGGTAATGTTCTCCCTACCACTTACCTTCCTTTCTTTCAGCTCTTATAAAATAAGAAGCTCTACTTTCATGGAAGTCACTCAGTTCATCTTGAAGACTCCCTTTAGTTTGCCTGGAAGGGAACTAGGGCCTATTGGATGTGCCCCTAATGATTTCAAATGAATAGGATAATATTTACTTGTCTAATTCATCTTCATCACCTTAAAGGGATATTTGTCATTTCTAGCAGAGGTCACTGCTCTGTCCCCCTACTTCACCCTCCCCCATCTCTCTTTTCTTTTTCTAAATTGTAATCATAAATAATG